GAAATTAAGTAAAACAATTCATTATAATATACGAAATTATTATTTAAATTTGCATTAATTTTGCAAACAAAATGATTAATAATTTATTTTATGTACCACCGGGCGTTAAAGTCCAAATTATAAATACGTTTAGCGGGCGTAAAGTACCTCTTTATCGTCCGCGGATTACTTTACCCTAGAAAGTTTTTAAATAATATTATAGTGTTGCCAAGCAATTAATTTTTTTTTGAAATTAGAGAATGATGCTGACCCCAAATTAAATTATCATAATTTAGGTAGGTTTACATTGATTTCAAAAATGTTTAATAACAGACAAGATACTGACCTTACTTGTTAATAGCCCTCGCCTAACGTTGCGGTCCATAAACGCCTGTTTTACGCCCTTGATACAAAAATAACTAAAATAACTTTGTAAGCTCATAGTGGATAATATGTTCCTGCTCTTTTAAACTGTTGTCGATTAATCTGCCACTAGAGAGACCTGCTAGAATAATCCAATTGGAGCAAGAGTATTCCCCATAAGTTTTTTCAAGCCACAGTTTCAAAACACGTATCAACATACTTACAACTGCTTTATTTAAGGCGAAATGATGCATTTATGACGTATGTCAATTTAACGATAGCCTTCCATAGCAATTTTTTAATATTTTCCTGTAATAAGGTCATAAGTCTACTGCCTCTAATTTCAAAAATTCTTGAACGTGCAGCATATTTCCAAATATACGAATATCTTTGTGAAAATAATATAATCCCTTTGCATCAGTCAGGTTTTCAAAAGGGTTTCAGTACTTCAACAGCTTTGGCACATTTAAGTGACAATATTTTCAATAGTATTGATAACAAAAAAGCAGGTGTCCTAGTTCTACTAGATTTTAGCAAAGCGTTTGACACCATTAATCATAATTTTCTTATATCCAAGTGTCAATATTATGGATTTGATAGAATTTCATTAGGTTTCATAAAAACATACTTAAGTAAACGATCACAGTTAGTTACAGTAAACGGTCAGAAATCAACATCCATTCAAATCAAATCTGGTGTACCACAAGGTTCAGTCCTAGGGCCCCTGCTTTTCTTACTCTATACTTCGGATTTCTACAAACACGTAAATAATTGTGCAGTCCAATTTTTTGCTGATGACACTCAGCTGTTCCTCGATTTTTCGCCGAATGAAGTCATTACTGCAGTTGATAAGATTAATCAAGATCTTAAAAAAATTGATAACTATTCGTCTGATCATAACCTGCACATTAATGCTTCGAAATCCAAACTATTATTATTCTGTAGTAGAAATATTAGACAATATATAAAGAACAATACAACTCTGATGATATCTGGTGAATCTATTCCACATGAAACTGAGTCTATAAATTTAGGGTTATACTTTGACGATCAAATGAGGTTCAGTCAACATGTCAACTATGTGTTACAAAAGTGTTATAGTGGTCTTCGCTTGCTTTATTCTAATAAACACATCCTACATATTATGGATCGTCTCGTCAGCAGTGTCTTGATTTTCATCTAATTTTGTAGGAGGTTAGCTTTTTGTTGATTGTCTCTTGTTCATTTATTTGCTATTCTGATAGGAGGACAGTATTTTCACGAATTTGTTATCTTTTTAGTTGCCTTTTCAGAACGAATAATCAGTTTCTGTATCATCTGTAAGCCCTACTAGGTATCTGTTAAAAGATTCTTCTTTGGGTAGCCTTATTTAATATATTTTTATCTTTTGGTGATCTTGCCATCTGTCATTTCTTTCTTAGTTTTCTTTTTTCTGCTACCAGTTCTCCTATCTCGACAGAATATGTTTTTCCAGCTGTTAATCTGCTTACTTTTGGTGCAGCTTGCTCGATTTCAACTATAAACCCTTCCAGTTCTCTATCTAGCTGATGATTTTTCGTTTTTAGTGTTATGGTCAGTTGAATAGTATTTGTTAAGTCCTCTTGAAAACCGTCCCAATTAGTTTTCCGATTTGCTAGGCTCAGTTTTGCTTCTTTTTGAATAACATTATCACTTAGAGTAAGGATTACTGCAGAATGGTCTGAACCCATATCGAAGATTACTTCTACTTAGTTTGCTAAATTTTTTCTCAGAATAAAGTAATCCGAAAGGTCTAGAATCTTATTTGGGTTTTTCAGAAGATTGGTATGTACAACCAAGTTCTGATGCAGCTCCTTTCCTTTGACTGTGGTTAATCTTGAAGCCCAGATTGTGTTTTTGGCAGAGCTGATAAGAGCCGGAACTAATTCCCGAGGCCCGGGCTCAAATGGGGGCCCGGCAACTGTGGCGAGGATTCTTTTGTCACTTTCAGAAGTTCGGCACAAGAGGGAGGAAGTTTTGCTTGAAGACCTTTTGATTGAAGACCTTTTTTGTTGAAAAAAAATTGTCGCGGGGCCCGATCTAGAGAATTGTCCTGGGGCCCGACCTGGCTCTCGGCGGCCCTGGTTTTTTGGAGTTGTAATCTCTACCGATTATAAATTTGTTAAATAGTTCTTTGAGTACATTGAGATAATTTTCTTATTTCTGGTTGTATCTTGGTGGGCAATAGATTGCAGCTATGCTTATTTTTAATGCATACAATTTTATTAATTTAACGAACTTAAGTATATTAATAAGAGTAATTAATCCTATATTAATATTAATGAGCGATACATTTTAATTTTAACTGTTGGGATTACTAAGTAACCGCTCGTTAATACAGTTTGATACAAATGTTTTTCGTCGACTGTATTTTCATTAAACTGGAGAATAATATCAATTCCATTAAATCGGCATTTTATGACTGAAATTTCACAAATAATAAATTATACATCGACATTGATTAGATTCCTTACTTTCATGTATTATATTTATTTGCATATAATAAAATAAAACCATTAATAAGGGCTTTTATAAAAAAATTTTTATACATTATTCCAACTTATAAATACACACGATCGTCGCAAAATATTTTATTGTTTTTAAATAATGCAAAATAATAATCTTTACTAATAAATTAAAAATTGTATACTTAATTTTACTGAATGAATCAAAATAGAAGATTTTTAATAAAGAATGATCTACAAGAAATATTTCTAAGTAGGTTATGAGTGACAAAGACAGAGATACTAGTCAAGTACGTGATAATTACGTACGACTATGAATTAAATCCAAACTGACAAGAACGAATTTTTTCAAAACCTACTTTTTTGTGGATTCCTTCATATTTTGTTCCCTGTGCGCTGCTGGATAAAAAGAAATGTTAAAAAATGCCGAGACGATGTTATAAGGCCTCAAAGCTTCCACGTTGAAAATTTGACAACCCCTTTGGGAATCTAGAAGAAAAATGAGCCTTTATAAAAACATTTTGAGCAATAAAACTATAACGACGGGGCATGTATGACAGGCAATGTAAAGACATATTATACCCATTAATTTATTATACGAGGTCGAGTAAAAATATTATAATAGTTTCGCAATTAGAAGATTTTGTTGTCTTTAGTACTCAATATTTATTTGAATTGGATATTTATTAAGTTAAAGGCAGTTATGGAGAACTTTTAAGGTAAAATCAGAAATGTGCACATTATTTACTGATTTGAGAAGGTTATTTAAGAAAATCTCAAAGGAAGTAGGTAATAAAACAATGTTTATAGTGTGTTCCAACAACATGTTTGTTGAAGAATTGAAATTTTTTTCTGAAAAGCGAGGTTAGATTCGAAATCTTATATTCATCTTGAAAATTTGGAAATCTTTGACTATGTCAGCGATAACTTATTTGAAATAGCGACTGCGGGCAGTTTTTTTTTCAATTTTTTATTAAATTTTTTTTCACCTTTTTTCATTATTTCGTAGGGGTAATATTAGGATTTGTTTGGGGATTTCCTGGGAATTTATTCTCATATTTTTCGAATGTTTAACCGATCAGTCTTTGAAACTTTAAAACTAATTATTATTTTCACTCATCACTTTCACTTATAATAAATTATTTTACGTTTAAGAATGATAGCAATATTGAAAAAGATGTCTGTGGTTTCACATGACTATCTAGTGAAATCACATAAAATAAGCTCCATAAAAACAATGATATTTGAAATACTAAATTGAATCCGAAAGTTTAGAAAATCAATAGGGTTCATTTGAAGAAATTATAAAGTAAAGTTAAAACCAAACATATACACAGACCACCTTACAAAATTCTTTTTCCTACGACTACATATGAAAGCGATAGTTTGCACACTCATTTGTACCCAAGAAAGTGGTTTAAATCACACGTGTACTGAAATATATGTCACACTTGTATTGAAAAGTAACAAAACACACAAGAATTGAAAAGTAAAAAATATCGTCCCATGACCTGTGATTGTCAATACAAATTTTTATGTATACAATGAAAAGCAATGACGTTTTCTATAGGTTTCTAAAATTATAAACTAAACAAACATTTTTAATCATTCTATTAGTTCTTGTCATCTCTACTGTTACAAAATAAAAAATATTTTAGAGGATTTTTTTACGTTTCAACACATATGTTGATATACTTTTCAACAGATTTGTAATATACTTTTCAGTATATATGTGAGTGTGATATTGTTTAATTGACTTTCTTATTGGAAAAATACGTCGTTTTGAATGATTTTTTACGTGGTCGTAGGAAAAATAGTGTAAACAACTAGTTAGAAAGTGTATTTTCGCACGAGTATATACTATTTTTTGTTTTCGGACTTGTGGTATGGTCAGAAAGTGTATGTGCCTCAATAATTTTAAATTTTTATTTATCATACATTTATTATCCTCCAATTCTAAATACAAAGTACGCGCCTAATTTATTATACATTATTACAAACCGATTAACAATCTATACAGTACTTTTAACAATAAAACACTTAAGAAGTATGCGGGTTAAAACCACAAACAAAAAATAAGCCTTCAACTTTTACACCGTTGCGTTGTCAGTGACAAGTGTAGACAGTACATCTGATGGAAAACGAAATATTTCAACAATTCACTTTGTGTTACAGGTTGCAAGTCATTTTTTAAAAGGAGTGTTCGAAGGAATTTGACTTATTCATGTCGTGGAAGTCGGAACTGCCCCATCGATCAACACCATAGAAATCAGTGTCAATATTGTCGATTAAAAAAATGTATGAAAATGGGTATGAGGAGGGAAGGTATGTACACATAAATTTCGTTTTATTATATTATTATGCCATTGTTTGTTTAGGAACTTTACCGAGATCGTATTTTTGGATATGTTAATGAATTTAGAGCCCAAAAATATGTAGAGGTCTCAATAAGATGAATGATTGGTACAAAAGATTCTGATCAATTCATTTTGCATAAAAATAATAGTTATTTCTTAATAACTTCACAATTTTAACTAACATTCAGACGTTTGATTTTTTTTTATTCGTAGAACACCATTATTTTTGAAAATTGTTATTTTATTTATCGTAAAATCGCAAATCGAATCCGAACCCCCAAAGGTAAAAAATAAATTCTTGGAGATGTTAACAAAATCCTGTTGTAGCTGGGAATCGAACCCGGACATCTTTGTATGCTAGTAATCAAGAATAAAATAAAAATATTGATTTATGCTGAAGAATCTTCAGAACTGGAATCCTTTAAGATATTGAATTCTATCACCATCTTTCCGATTACATTGTCCACCATCCCGTCCAATTTCCACATTTTGTCTTCTTCCTTGATGACGTGGGTTACGTCGATTCCGATTTCCAGTAAACGTTGGACGTCGCTAATTTTAAATGTCGTTTTCACGAGCTACGTGTTACCGTTTTTTCTTTAAAATTAATTACCAATAAAAATATAATACTACTTAACCCCAAAGAGCCAAATTACCAATTATCAGAGGCATTCCTGGTAACAGTTACACCGACTGGTATTTATATCGCGCCAGATCCTTTGCTGCAGAATAAAGATCAAGCTCCTTCGTTGTTTTGAACACTGATAATTAGCAACCCCTCATAAATGACATCCCAGCAACAGTGTGGACAGATACAGCAGAGTCAACTTCAGTGGTAATGTAGCCCAAAGTTTAGGTTAAAAATAAGTACTAACCTTTTAAGATCCAGGGTATCTCACTAGACAGATCTCTGTGAACTTTTGTTTGTTGTCCAAGCTTTTTGTGTAGCCCCAAACACTATTATTAGAAAGTTGCTATTTAAAACTATTGCTTTTAGTTTTTAATCCTTTTTTGAAACCAATTAATTGTCCTTACGAATTTTCGAAACAACATGAGGACTTTACTAAACCAACATGTGGACCTTTTTTTTAGAAGATACTTAAATCGCCACCCATTATCTTTTATTTACATTTCAAAAAGAAAAGGAGGTGGCAACTCTAGTTATCACCTAAAAATATTGCGGCCCGTTTAGCATAACAAACAGATTTATGTGGCCCGAAAGAAAAACAGGTTGAGTACCTCTGATCTAATGTGACCCCCAGGTGCTAAGCGGCTGTGATAAGAAGCGTTATCAAGCACTATCACTGAATTTGGCTCAATCTGTGAAAGTAGGGCTTCAAGCCAACCTTAGAAGCGTTGAGCGTCCACGTCTTCATGATAATCCCCTGTTTTTTTAGATAAGAAAACTAATTCACTGTTGTTTAAAAAACCACTTTCACTACCTATATGGGCGACAATTACTCTTTGTTCTTTTCTAGTTGGTCCTCGTAATCCTGTTGATAGACCTTCCACAAATGCTTGTCGATAACTTGTTACCGTAGTATCTTGCCAGTTCTTAGATACTGTGTGACCAGCATTTACCCACGTTTCATCCAGATAATATGTTGTCTTGTTTGTATTATAGAGCGAAAATATTTTCATCGTCTTGAAACTATCTCTTCTCTTTCTATTAAAACAGAGTTACGAAATCGTCTTGTATATCGAAACTTCAACTCGTGTACCTACTATTTTGCTTAATGTATCTCGGCTCATTTGTGGAACGAGATCATTTTCCAATAATTTCTCAGTCACCTTCTTTTCACGTACAATGCGTTTAATTGTCACTACGGATATTCTCGTCAAAAATGAACAGAGGTCCAAGGCTTGCATTGTCGGAAGTGTATTTATTAAATCTTCATATATGCTACAGACCATCTGTTTTTCTTTATTTGAAAGAATTTTCCGCTTTCGTTGTGAAATTAACAGGACTTTGATATGAAACGTAGCGCCTTAAAATTTAAAACCCACGACTAAAAAAATGTATTTGTTTGAATCTTAATCATTTTACTTAAATGTTTGAAGCAATATTATATATAGAAAATTAAGAATTCTGTTAAAAAATAATGTTTTAATTTGAAAGGAATAAGTCATTGTTGCTTTTGTAATTTTTTGTTTTCTCCAATTTTGAGCATGTTTTTTAATCGTGACTGTATATTTTTTATTTTATTAAAAACTACATGTCAAAACGAAAAAAATGAATACCTGATGACCTTCGTACGATTTTTTTTCACCGTAGAATTAATATCTCGAAATATTTTGAATTTTTTAATTTTTATTTGCTTATTTAAGACATACAAAGGTATAATTTCACCAAATTTCATCAAAATTAAATAATTTTTGAAGAAATCAAAAATAAAAAACCTAAAAAATTGGCAAATTAGACGATTAAAATACAGATTATATACCTACCAATAATATCATTGAGCTATTAATAACAAAAAAAACACTATAAGATGGTCGTATAAAGAAGTTTAGTAGTAATTAAAACGTAAAAGTGTTATGTTTCATTTTAAACCGTTTTACCTCAAATTTATTAGAATGATATGATAAAAAAAATAAACTACTACAACTAACCATATACCTGTCTCACGCAACGACACTTACTTATTTAATTCAATTAATACCTAACTGGTTTGTTAGCCTTCTCAGTAGACCTTATTAGTATTGACGAGTTTATCGCTGACTCAAAGTATTTACCTAACTTGAAGCATAAACAATAAAATGATCCCGGTAAGTTTAGCTCTGAAAATCATAATAGAATTACATTGTTGCCGGTTGATCACAGTGCAATTCGTCAAGATGAGCCACCATTATTTAAAAATAGTTCGAATATAGAAAGGGAATTTATCTAGCATACAAATGAATTCGGGTTCAATTCCCAGCTGCCATAGACTTTTTTCAAATTTCCAAGTATTTGTTTTCACATTTGGGGTTCGGGGATGGTCTTAATAATTCGTAGGAAGATTTTTGAGATTTGTTTCCGAATTTTCAAATCATTATTTTGATTAGATACTTATATATTTTTCAAATCATATTGCATTGCGGATACTCTGGTGCAGTCTTGTTTGTTATTTATATTAAACAAATCATATTGTATATTTTTTTATAAAAAAATGTTATGCGCATCAAATTACTGTTTTATTAATTGGGTATAAAACATTAAAATAACTGTAACTTATAACTTAAATCTATAAATCCAATATCCTCATTAGCTATTAATGTTTCTTTTTTTTTTGTAAAAATTTCCGGTATAGCCTACTTGAATATACATGAGGTTGTAAACCCATCACGCTTTGATTTGAAGTTCGGTAGGAAATATTTAATGACGTGAATAGTTTTCATGATTATTCATGTTATGTTAATTTATTTGAAAAGTATAGACGCGATATTTCTCTGTTCTCTGAAAATATTGGCACGATTGTTTGAAATCAGTGACTTTGGTAAAGAATTATATTAAAGGATTTAAGTACCCTAGTGTTAAAGTGTAAAAAATCCCGCGCTACTGATCCAAATAAATGAGGAATTAAAAATGGCTGTTTTCATTTCAACCATGTATAATAAATTTGATAAGACGAAAGGTCAAAGGTTAATGAAACTTCTAGTTTAAAACGTAATTTGTTTAAAAACAGAATACGATTTCATATTAATTAAGAATGGTCGACTTTAATTAATTAACATAACTGAATAAAAACACCATATCGATTTAGATATTGTACCAAAGAACTTGGACAAGACGATTATCGAAATTATGGAAATTTTACAATGTTTTAAAATCGTACGAGTTTGTAAAATGAGATACTTATCCATTCAAAAAAAATAAAGATACTCGTCTTAGAGAGACAAATTGTTTGTTTGTGGTTATCTAACCTAAGATATAGCTGTCATTTCTGGGATCTATTTTATAACATCTGTCAATCCAATCCAAGCAAAACTACATGGTATTATTTTACACTTGTAATTATGATTATTATTATTATTATTTACGCTTGTATTTAGGCAATTTATTTTTCTTAAACATTTAAATGAAATTTTCTCGTTTGGGCCCAATGAATTTAAATGTAATACTAGTTCCTTTTGTCTAGTATTAAACGTTAGGTTGTTTAGACAAAGTCACAAATATTTAATTTAATGTATTTGTCCTTTCACATAGCCGAAATATAATATGGGCAAAAAGGTTCTTACAATAGGTAGACGGGTAAGCATACGTGTCATATGGCCATTGAAACATATCAAAGAAATCAGGTAGAAATAAAACTTGTTCCGAGGGGTCCTTATTTCGCATACACCTTACAGTCGACTCTCAGGGGTTAGAAATGGATGACCAGTGTCCAGTATAGATATTATGTAAATCAACATAAGGGCATGTTATAGGAGCTTTATTCAAATCCAGTCTTCTATTCTTTTTTCGTGGGAAAACATAGGGAATACGGCTTATGAGAACTTTGTGTCTAGAAATATAAGGAGTATTTATTGCCATACCAAACATTTGCATTTAGTTTTGTGATGTTATTCAAATAAACCGTATATTTACCCGCAAAATCAATTTAGTCTAACCCGGAAATGTTGGAATTACAATAGGGAAGTGCTTACCTGTAATAGAAGAAGAAGTTTTGTATTTCTTTTGGGACCTTCAAGGAATAATAAGTGGAATAAAATTATAAACAATGAAACATTCTATTTAATATATACGTGCTAGTTGTAACAGTTTTCAAAACGATAAATAAAAAATACATTTAATTATCGAATAGAAATGACACATGCATAAAAATAATTAAGTTGATGTATAAAAAATTATTTAAATTCTACAGATATTTAAATTTCTTTTGATTTATTTAATCAGTTTCGGATACAAAAAGTCAACAAATACGAATTTTATTGTCAAATTTTGGACTTACAACATCAAAAGAAGTACAATAAAAGGTAATATTC